GGGCTCCATGAACACACCCATATTACTCCCTGGGTGTCCAGGAATTATCAACGACAAGAATATATTATGTCGTTGAAAGGAGACACCGGGGGGGGGGGAGATTAAGGGGGATAACGAAGACGGGCCAACATGTGTATGGGGCAGCCATCATTCCATAAGGATTGAACACATCTGTTGCCAACGCGACACGTACATTACGAGCCTCATCTGCTTTGTCATGATGTTTGTCATTAAAGCGGATCCAAGCTTCACCATCGGATGGATGTACCATCTTGTCAGGATTGTACCGTTTGCCATTTTTGTGCCATGTCATCTGTTTCGTGGATTCCTCGGTCATGTATAGTCGTTGGATCCTCAGTAAGAACAGAAGGTACCGTAGGATTTTCATGGGGATCGCAAGTTGCCTCTTCTGGCCATCATCAGAGTCTACCTCTAGGTACCTGGAGGATTTACCCTTTGGATAGAACTTTGCATGCTCGTGTTCTTTCCTAAATAGGACGCACCCGCACCCTTTCGGACAAGCATGTATCTGCTCATACGGCATCTTAAGTGCTCGAAGGAGTTTCTGTGACTCGTACATGCTCTTTGGCAGAATGTGGCCCTCCAGAAGCAGGGTGCCAATCACGGCCAACATCTTATCGAAGCCAGGTCGACTCAAGTTTAACTTGGACTTCAACCCCATTAAGCGTCCAATGACATCTAGTTGAGACACCGTTGACCGATCGTGAAGGGGTTTCTATGCCGAGTCCATCATGTCGTAGAACGCCTGTGCGGCTGCCTCCATCTCCTCCTTCTCACGTTCCTCATCGAACTGTCCTTGGTGAAAGTCATCTAACATGTCTGCTACCCCGGCATCAGCATCAAAAGCCTCCACCCGTGGTCTCACCACCTCCTCTCTCATACGATGAGCTTCACCATGGTGGACCCACCGGGTGTAGTCCGGCATAAATCCATTCTTCACAAGATGTTTACCCATTTCCACCGTGTTTACCCTTCTCCTGTTTCCACATTTGCTACAGGGACACAAAACTAGGCAATGTCCTTTAGCAGCGTTGCCAAATGCACTGTTCAAGAAAGCATCGGTCTTGTTCATCCATTCCGTGGTGTAATCACTCTGACTTCTCCAGCCCGTGTACATCCACTAACGGTCATCCATCCTCTAACATATGTATCAGCAAGTAATGTAACCATTAATTGCATCTACATGGTGTTCCTACTGTCTAATATGTGAGGATAGGTCCTAATCCCACCCGTGGATGCGTAGATGAAGTTAGTTTCCATGCTCTACTCCTATCCGAGACAGAATTTTGGTAGCACCTCCCCACTGTTCTCTAGATACACGTCCTGCCAAAGAAGAGTGCGTATCCGGAGAACAACAGGGAGGTGATGCCGAAACTCCGCTCCTGTCTCGGACAGACGAGTAACATGGGAACTAACCCATCTACGCATCCACAAACTAATCAAAAAGCGTGGACAATCCGAAATAGATACGGTCATAGATATGCAAAGATCTCGCATACCTCCAACCGTATCTCTTTCAAACAGGAGACGCCCTAAGCGGGTTCTGCGATCTATGACCATGATACTGAAAAGAGGGTTATACCTAGGGTGGCGGTGGTCGGGCTAAGCGGGACCGTGGCGGGTCGGTGCAAATGGCGAGAGCACGACGCGTGCAGCGAGCAAACGCAGCAGTGGCGAGAACTCGACTCAACTCCGGCGGGCTCTTCTCTACAAAATGGAACAAAATCTCATCATTTACAAAAAAATTTGGCGAACCTCCCTCGCACGGTGAGGTTTCCAAAACTGCAAAAAAAACAACGACACGATGGCCGACAAGCACATATGTCTCAAGAGAAGCCATGTAGTTTGGATATCAATCCATGCAGAAGAATATATCCAAGTAGTACCACTACTTGTACTACTACTTCCACTATTGCTACTACTACTACCATTGGTTCTACTACTACTACTACCACTATTGCTACAACTACTACCATTAGTTGTACTACTACTACTACCACTACTTCTACTACTACTACCACTAATTCTACTACTAATACTACCACTAGTTGTACTACTACTACCACTAGTACAACTAATACTACTACAACTACCACTACCTCGACAACAATAAGAGAGAAGGCATACCTGACGGGCGCCGAGGTAGGGGCGGGCGGCGTCGGGATCGAGCGGCGTCGGTGTCGGAGTTAAATTCATTTGAGTCGGGGGCAGAGGCCGAGACACAGACGGCGTCGGGGTGGTGGTCCGGGGGCGACCCAGGCGTGGCAGGCGCGGCGGGGAAGGGCCGGCGGGGGCACGGGCACGGTCGACGCCGCGCGGCCTTGCGGGGCAGCGTGGCGCGCCTTGCGCCGAGCGGCGGAGGCGGGGGTGGGCAGGCGTGGGCGCGGGGCTGGCTGGCTCTGACTGCCCGGCCGGCCCAAAATGCCTAAGTCCCCCAACCGCCCTTTGCCGAGTGCCGGATCAGGGAGGCACTCGGCAAAGATTTGATTTTTTTTTTAAATTTCTTTGCTGAGTGCCCCAGATCTGGCGCTCGGCAAAGATTTAATTTTTTTTAAATCCTTTGTCGAGTGTCTCAGATCTAGCACTCGGCAAAGATTTTTTTTTAAAAAAATACTTTGTCGAGTGCCTGCACGACACTTTCAACAAAGATTTAATTTTTTATAATTTATTTGCCGAGTGCTCCTGTGGGTGCACTTGGCAAAGAGGAATTTAAAAAAAAATTAAAACCCTCTTTGTCGAGTGCCTTATTCTGGCACTCAGCAAAGACACCCTTTGCTGAGTGCCATGCCTCGGCACTTTCGGCAAAGTTTTTTTTTTTTTGACCTCAATCTTTTTATGCAGCCCTTTTAAAGCACCAGAACTCCTAGTTACAATTTGGAGATTTTTTTGTGGCTTTTGATATATTTAGTTACTTTATTTAGTTTACTTGAATTTTTTTTCGAAAAATAGAAATTAAACGTAAATTTCTATTTTTGGATCAAAAGCCACAAAAAATCCTTAAATTGTAACTAGGAGTTCTGATGCTTTAAAAAGGTCAGCACTAAAAATTGAGGCAAAAAAAACTTTGCCGAAAGTCTTAGGGGCATGTCACTCGGCAAAAAAGGTGTCCGACAAAGAGGGTTTTAATTTTTTTTAAAAAAAAATTCCTCTTTGCCGAGTGCATCCACAGGAGCACTCGACAAAGAAATTATAAAAAAAAATTAAATCTTTGCCGAGTGCCGTGCCAGGGGCACTCGGCAAAGTATTTTTTTTTTAAATTCTTTGTCGAGTGCCAGATCTGAGACACCCGGCAAAGGATTTAAAAAAAATTAAATCTTTGCCGAGTGCCAGATCAGGGGCACTCGACAAAGAATTTTTTTTTAAAAAAAAAATCAAATCTTTGCCGAGTGCCTAACAGCAGGCACTCGGCAAAGAAGGCCGTGACCGAACACCGTTTCACGGGCAGCCTATGCATTTTGCCGAGAGTCTGGCATTCGGCAAAGAAGTCCTTTGCCGAGTGCCCTTGTTTGCCGAGTGCAATTCTTTGCCGAGTGCAGCACTCGGCAAAGAGGGTCTTTGCCGAGTGTCCGATTTTTGACACTCAGCAAAGAATTTTGCAGTCGGCAAAGTCTTTGTTTTCAGTAGTGAGAAAGAAGGTCTTTTAGTTCCCAAAGTAAACCACTCGCTGAGCTCCTATCCATCTCCGTGGACAAATTCTTTATTTGAGTCTATCCTGGCCATTAACTTCCTTGGCTGCTATTTATCAATGCAATCTCTATGGATATTAACCGGCCGGAGGCGTAATTGCCAAAGATGACCATATTAATAGGGAAAACTATATTTCAAAAAGAAGAAAAGAGGTCCCAGCTCTTAAATGTTCTCACTGATATGAGCTAGGAACTAGACTAGTCATGCTCAGAAGTGTGTTGTACTATGTTTTGGAGTATGTAATAGCAGCCAAGTTGTAAAATTTTGCAGCATCTTGTTATACAAAATGTTGCCTCTACTCTATCTAAATGTGATACTTTGTTACCTTTCAGTGTTACGTTTTCACAGACAATGCGTGCAACAGTTTGGTTTGATCGAGCAAATAAAGATCATCCAATTGCAAATAAAACGGAGTAGCTAGCAGCCAGAGGCCCCAAATAAACCCAAAGCACGTCTGTCGATGCCTGCTGTTGGCATGGACGACGTTGCTGCTGCAGGCAACAAGGCGTATGCGGTTGCCATCGCCATACAGGTGATCTACACCGGCATGTTCGTCGTCTCCAAGGCAGCCTTCGACCATGGCATCAACACCTTCGTCTTCACCTTCTACCGCCAGGCTGCTGGCTCTCTCCTCCTTTTGCCTATCGCCCTTCTCCGCCACTGGTAGGTACATGCATATATAGCTCATCACACAAATAATATGGTGTGATCTTGCATGATGCATGCCCGGTGTTTTATGGAGTTAATTTGTAGGAACGACTATGCAAGGTCCATGCCATCTCCGATGCTGCTTTTCAAGCTCTTCATATGTGCCTTAACCGGGTACGTACGTACTATAAGTAGTAGGTACACATATAAACTAGTATCGGAGAAACCAGACTTTAGATGAACTGAAACATGCATGTATATATATTGTTCTTGTCCTCAGGATTACATTTCACTTGAACCTGTACACTGTAAGCCTCAAGTTCACCTCTGCAACTGTGGCATCCGCGGCCAACAACTCACTGCCGGCGGTCACCTTCTTCCCCTCACTGCTGCTGAGGTACGTACTGTGCTAGCTATATAGCTCCATAAATATTCGCCATGCATGGCTTCAACTAAAGCAGAGAAGTAAGAGAAGAGCTCTGCAGGATGGAGCATGTGAAGCTGAAGAGCTTGTCAGGCGTAGCCAAGCTCGCCGGGATGGCGCTCTGCCTCGCCGGGGGTCTTGATCATCGCCTTGTACGCCGGCCCGTCGATGAGCCCTGTCAACCATCACCATGCCTTCGCCTCTCACGCTTCGTCTGGAGCCGATGTTGTTGTTACGCGCAGCGCATGGGTGAAATGGACATTCCTCATGGTCCTCGCCAACACGGCGTGGTCTCTCTGGATCGTCCTCCAGGTCAGTATGTCGTCGTCGTTATAGCTACCTCTTTCTTTCTGCAGTGCACCTTGTGGACGTACGGATTCCTGCAGCATGCGGTAGAATTAGCTATCTTTGGTTTAATTAGCCGAGCAAGTCCAACATTATTTCAGTTAAATCAAATAAACTTCAAGGCTCGTAATACAGTAAATGATAGCTAGTTAGGTGTAGTAAAGGATTAATCCCACATATGAAAGATTGACTCATCATCTCTTTTTTTTTGCGTAAAAAAAGATTAATAACTCATCATCAATTTAAATGAGCGAATATTGTGTGCATGCGTTGTGAGGTTGACAAATATGGAATGTGAGCCACGCTCCTATACAAGTCGAGTCGTGCTGGGTCACAACACGCACACTCTCGGTCTTGGCTGGTTAGACCACGAAATGCTGGTGCGATATGCTAGCGAAGAGTTTATTTGCAGCTCTAATCATGTTTCGATTCTTCCACATGGACGAACATATAGCAGCAGTCAAGAGGACACACATCCATGTATCCTTTGGTAGCCATATTCGCAACCACTTCCATCACTGATTAGTGGAAACAGGGGGCAGGTGTTAATTGCACCGATTAGGCATGCAATAAGACCCCGATTTGCTTTAGCTACTTTGCACTCAAAGAAAGCATGGTTGGACAATTCACCACCATCATAAAGTAACAAGATGGGTTTCATTTCCATTTTCTCTTTAACATATTATTGTCTGTAGTTAGGATAGCATCATTATATTCTCAATAAGCCACAAAAGGAATTTTCCATCTCCATCTACTGAACTCTTTTTGTACGTCATCAGAGTAATTCATCGCATACTCTCTGATCCCAACTCATTTATCTCTTTGAGCCCCATATAAAGCCATCTGCTAAACTTTAACTGGCCAAAATTTTCTTTTATTTACAATCATGTATTGTAATAAATTTATCATCACACATATCATACAACATAGGAAATTGTTGGCACAGGTGTCTCACCCCACCAAGTGTCTAGCCAAAACTGAGTGCTTTTGCCACGATAGATGATCAATTAATTTCCTCCCTTTCAAATATACCCATCTTGCTTAAAGAAAATCAGTCCATATTGGAGAGTCATCTCTCCTGTGTTTGGTCTGCTCAGTACATTTCCCTTTAATGTATTTCTATTTATCAAAATCTGCCAGATATGCCCTATTTTTATTTCCAGTTTTCACCACCATTTGCAGAAGAGTAATATTAATCTTTCTAAGGCTTTGAATGCCCAAACAACCCTTTTACTTTTACAAATCTTCGTCCACTTGACAAGGTGGTAACTTTTCTTTGCACTACCTCCTTGGCAAAAGAAGATACATCTTTGTTTATCCAAGATGTCAATAATGGTTTGTGGGAGCCAGAACATATAGATATCTGAAAAATTGGAGAGTTATTTAATTAGAATAGAGTTGACAACAATACACCTACCAGTCATAGACAGTGAGCTGCATTGCCAATATCAAGCTTTTTGGCAAAATTATCATAAATTTGACCCCCAATCACAAATGTGGAGTCTGCTAGGATTCACTAGAACACCAAGGCACTTGATAGGGTAAGTACCAATTTTGCAATAAAAAAGATTTGCATACTTAACCAAATTGTTGTTATTGTCATTTATCATGAGAACTTCACTTTTCACAAAGTTAATTTTTAAACCCAACAACCTTTCATAAAGGTATAATAACTTAAGGTTCCTAGACATTTCATAGTCATATTTTATGCACAGAATCATGTCATCGGCATATCAAAGAATAGCCACACACTACAAGAAACACCCCGTGTAGATACGTCTTCTTTGCTACGTTTTTGAAATCATGTCTACATCTTAAGTAGTTTTAGTACTAGATACGTTTGTTGACATGTTTTACTAAAAACGTAGCTACTTCGCCTCAAAAGGCTCCATGACTATTGGCACGTTTTTAGAATAAGGCAAAATAGGCAATGTCATCCTTCAACTTTTGCTCTTGGGTCAAGTTCGTCCCTGAACTCTTGCGAGGATCAATTTAGTCCTCGAACTCTTGCTCTCCGGTTCAATTTCGTCCTCCATCCGAGCTGGACGTCCACGTTGGCATGCGAACTCAGCAACCAGTCAGCTTAGGGTTCCAACTCCTGTTGAAATGACCAATTTACCCCGCACTCGTTTTGGACAGAGCAGCCGCATCGAGCCCGACCACTCCCTCTCCTACCAGGTCGCCGCCCCTCCCAGTAGCGTAGCTCGCCACCCCTCCCTACCAGCGCGCCGCCACCTCCGAGCCAGCTCGGCTCGCCGCCCCTCGGCACCCCCTCCCTAACAGCGAGCGCGGCCCCTCCCAGCCAGCTCGGGTCGCCGACCCTCGCCGCCCCCTCCCTGCCAGCAAGCCTGCCGCAGCCAGGCCCGCTCGCCGCCCCTGAGCACCCCCCAGCCATCTCTCCAGTCGCCGACCCCATGGAAGCAGCTTGCTCGTAGGATTTGTTTGGACCAGAGGGGATTCAACAGCAGCACGACCATGATTTTGAGGCGAGCAACCAGGGGCTGGTCAGGGAGCCGTGGCCCTCTTGGACGGAGGAGGAGGGAACCAACCAGCAGTACATAAAGGTATGCTAATTCTTTTGCATTTTACTTCGTGGAGCTGAGAAGCATGTTGGCTTTTTTTAAAATCTAATGTTAGAATGCATCCTGTAGGGCTAGGAGAAGATGGGAGATTCAGAGGTACTGGTTGTTAGATTTCATTTCAATGGGGTATTTGTTCTTGATGGATCATCAGTACAATATTGTAATGGAGATGAGGGAGTTTCACATATAGATAAGGATAAACTGTCCATCCCAGAACTTGAAGGCCATCTGATGGATCACACAACTTTTAAGAGGTCTGTTAGGATGTATTGGTTGCCATTTGGTGCAGCAGTGAATACTGGGATGAGGATGCTGGTAGATGATAAGTCATGCCTTGATATGGTAGATGCAATAGGATCTAATGGCGCAGTGGATATATACACAGAATTAATTGATGTGGACATGGCTAAATTTAGTGAAACGGATTTACAAGATGGAGCAGGAGATGAAGCTGTGTTTGACCTGTTTAGAGATGAAAATGTCTTAAATTTCGATGCACATCATGGTGGCCAAATTACAGAGGATGCACAGATTGGTGAACCAAATACTGAAGATGAACAAGAAGATGGTTTAGATAGTAAATGTGAAAGCCACAGGGTTCACATCTGATGATGACGATGAAGCAAAGGAGATAAGAAACAATTACAAAACATATATGTCCAAAAGGAAGAAGAGAGGAGGCATTCCTGAGGACACCCCCACTACAATGGATCTTCCAACAGGGAATGATCCTAACAGTATGGTTCAGGTGAATGAATTTGGAGATGGCATTGCATATTTTGATTCAGATGAAGATGTATCATATGACGATGATAGTGAGACTGATGCCAAGAGAAGGAAGTGCAGGTTTCCAATATTTGATAGCCGTGCCGACACACCTCAGTTTGCCTTGGACATGTGTTTTAGAGGCAAGAAGGAATTAAAAGATGCAATAGAAAGGTATGCACTGAATATGAAGGTAAATATTATGTTTCCTAAGAATGACAAGAAGAGGTTAAGGGCTATTTGCTCATGGAAAGGTTGTCCTTGGCTTGTGCATGCTTCATACAACTCCAAAACTGACTGGTTTCAGATTGTGACATATAATCCCAACCATCATTGTTGCCCAGTCTTGAAAAACAAAATATTATCTACAAGTAGAATATGTGACAATTATAAGAGTACTATCAAGGCTAACCCAGCATGGAAGGCTAGAGCAATGAAGGAGACAATACAAGAAGATATGGGTGTCGAGATTTCATTGACAATAGCGAAAAGAGCAAAAGCAAAGGTTATTAGGAAGGTCATGGATGCTCGGAGTGGAGAGTACTCTAAGTTATTTGACTATGTCCTTGAGCTGAAGCGCAGTAATCCTGGTAGCAGTGTGCATATTGCCCTTGATCCTGAGGAAGAGGACCATGTGTTTCAAAGAACGTATATTTGTTTGGATGCATGTAGAAGGGGTTTCTTAGATGGATGCAGGAGGGTGATAGGGCTTGATGGTTGCTTTCTAAAGGGTCCTATGAAAGGGGAGCTGCTGTCAGCTATTGGGAGAGATGCAAATAATCAGATTTACCCTATAGCTTGGGCTGTTGTGGAATATGAGAATGTAAATTCATGGAAATGGTTTCTTGGACACCTTCAAAAAGATTTGAAAATCCCACATGGTGCTGAAGGATGGGTGTTCCTTACAGACAAACAAAAGGGTTTGCTGAAGGCAATTGACATATTCTTTCAAATGGCTGAGCATCGAATGTGTGCACGACACATTTATGCAAACCGGAGAAAAAAACATAGGCTACAGGAGTACCAAAAGAGATTTTGGAAGATTGCAAAGTCATGTAATGAGATATAGTTTAATCATTACACGAACAAGTTAGCTGCCAAGACACCTAAAGGATGGGCTGATTTGCAAAAAACAGAACCAGTACATTGGTGTCGGGCTTGGTTCAAAATTGGATCCAATTGCGAGTCAGTTGATAACAATGTGAGCGAATCATTCAATAGCTGGATTATAGATGCAAGATTTAAACCTATCCTTGCCATGTTAGAGGAAATACGTATCATGGTGACAAGAAGGATTCAAGAGAACAGGAGCAATAGTGATAGATGGGCAATGACAATATGCCCCAACATTCTCAGGAAGGTAAATAAAATTAGGCATGCAACCCAATACTGTCATGTCCTATGGAATGGTGCAAATGGATTTGAAGTGAGGGACAAGAAATGGAGGTTCACGGTTGATCTGGGACAAAAGACATGCTCCTGTAGATATTGGCAAGTCTCGGGTATCCCATGTCGACATGCTTGTGCAGCCCCGTTCACAATCTCAGATGAGCCGAACAATTATGTAAATACATGTTTCTCTATTTGACCAATACAAGATAACTTATCAGCATGTCCTCCAACCGGTAGAGCATGAGTCTGCTTGGCCTGTGTCTCTAAATCCTAAACCGTTGCCTCCTAGAGTGAAGAAGATGCCAGGTCACCCACAAACAAAAAGGAGGATGGATCCTTCAGAACGAATGAACTCGAGCACTAAATCCTCTAGAGTTGGCACTAAAATCAGATGCACACGTTGCAACGGCCTTGGACACAACACTAAGACATGCTTTGTTCAGCTGGTGTTTATACATTTCACCTTTTTAGCTTTCTATTTTGTTCCTGGAGATAATAACAACGAGATGGCTCTAACTTTTCCCCTTTGTTATGCAGCAGCAGGACTCGACATCGCATAATCCTTGTCACAATAGTAGTGCACCATTGGCCATTGAAACAGCACCATCTAAAGGAAAAGGTCAAGCTGCATCTCTGAGCACAAAGTCAACTAAAAGAAAGGCAACTGAGGGCTACGGATTGTATTATAGTGAAAGAACTGGTTCATCATTTATTCAGGTTAGTAAATGGTTAATGTACACTCAATCTCTATGCATTATTCCAATACATCAATCTAATTTCAATTGCTCTACAGACTGGTCAAAAGAGAAGAGTAGTGCCCTTTGGAAAGTCGAAGTCTGAAGCTAAAGCCACTGCTGATGGGAATGCCTTTGTTGTCATTGAGACAAGTGCAGGTGGTGCCACCTCGTCTGCAAGAGCAACCATCAATGTTACAAGCGGGCGTGCAACTGCAAAGATTAAATCTAGTTCAACTAGCAGAGAAAGGCCGAATAAATCATGACAGTAGTCTGTATCATTTAAGAAGACTTTGTTGTCATTTGCATTACATTTTGTAATGGCTCTTGTGTCAGCATCTTATACTCAGAACCTGAAATACTACTTTGAACCTGAAACATTGTGTCAATTTCATGCCTGTGTATCTATACATTTTGTCAGTTTCGTGCTGTCGATTTGGCGATGAACTACAGTGGAGGGGAAGGGGAGAGCCGGCTGTGCAGTAAGCTGCTAAATGGAAATGAGCTAGCTAGGAGAGAGAGACGGCTGTACATAAACAATGGCAAGGGCAATATGGACTTTGAACATGCATATCAAAATCCTAAGACATCTGGCTGAATCTGGCATGCCAACGTGGATGTCTAGCTCAGATGGAGGACGAAATTGAACCGAAGAGCAAGAGTTCGAGGACTAAATTGATCCTTGCAAGAGTTTAGGGACGAACTTGATCCAAGAGCAAAAGTTGAAGGACGACATTGCTTATTTTGCCTTAAAATAACATATCTACGTCTGTCGCTAAACACGATTCTTAACACGGTTGAAAAACGATAATAAAGCCTACTACATTCCCTTTGTACCCGATGGCCCAAGAGAGCCCATCAGGCGGTGGCCCCACTCGCCCCCAAAAGGCACCAGGTCCCTATCGTGCTGCAGAGAATACGGACGGGTAGCGCACGGTACCCTGCAGTCGTGCACATCGCCCACTCCTCTATTCTCTCCCCCGTTTTCTCCAAACCCTAGCGGTTGGCGGCAGCGGACTCCGGCGAGGGCGCATCGGCGGGCGGCAGGACAGTGGTGAGCCGATGCTCAACGTGCGCACGAGCGTCATGGGCATGGCGCTGCGGGCGGAGGCCGCAACTGGCGGCTGGCGCGAGCAGCCAGGGCGCCGAGCGGAAGGCCGCAAGGGCCTAGGGCGGTGCCGCTCGTTCGCCCCAACTAATCGACCGCGAGGCTGCGAGAGGGTCAGATCTGATGTACGCTATGCTTGATGCTCCTAACTGTTCTCATTTTTTGGCTGCGCACTTCAGTATATGTTTCTTGATGCATCTACAGGTGACTCTAGATAACTGTTCAGGAGAGATTTGATCAATGTGTCTCCTACTAAATGCAAAATTTTGTAATGTGCAGTATGCAGTATTTAATTTTTTAAATGCAAAGATAGAGTTTAGATGCCAAGTTTCAGAACACAATCATCATTACCTCGGCATGGAAAGGTACGTGATTGCACCCCCTGTTCGATCAAGTCACATATCCAAGCTAATGATGATGTGGACCAGCTTAAAGATATTTCTTTTCTGAAATGTTTTAAGCACCTTCTTATTGTTACATATCCTCAATTTTCATAGGCTTAGGAAAAAAGGTACCACCTGCAACAAAGCCAAAGGTGCGATCTAGTATTTGCTTGCCCTTGGATCTTGATTCAGCAATGTCACATTTTAATTTCGCAATGTGTTAGATGAGTTATCTGCCAGTAACATTGCCTGCCAATTAAGTATCTTATATTGAGTTGTACATATGCAGGTTTAATACTTTAAGCTATTGAATTTTCAGATTGATGTGGCTATTGAATTTTCAGATATCTTGAGACTGTATGGATTTGGGTAGCTGTTGTTTTCTTTTTTTCAAGTTCAGTTTCATATATATTGATTAATGTTGTTTCGAATACTAATTTGTATTGGAATTGCAGAGTAGCGAAGCTTGACACAAGTATTCGAATGATTGAGGTGCTTCCTAAAGCCGAACTAACTATATCTTGTTAACTCACATTGAGGCCATGGAGTATCGACATGAAGATGATTACATATGCCCTCTAGTTTCATGCATGACTTCCTTAGCAATATGAGTTAACTTTTATGCTTTCTATGTCTTGTTAATCCATGCACTATTTATCAGTCTCATAAATCAGCCTCTTTAGTTACTTTTCAGCTAAGACCTTTTTTTTCTTCTAAATTCATCACAAAAACTTATATAATGGTCTATTTATTTAATCTGTAGGATCATGGAAGCTTGTCAAGAAAATCTGTTCAAGCAAGAAGCAAAGATTGATGATTTGCGAAGATTGAGGATTGAAGTGCAAGTGTCTTTAAGCACTGATATTTTTAAATAGATTAGATCGATCCCAATGTATAAAATTAGCGAATATGTAATATATACATGTTGTATGTGGATGTTTGACACTGTTTGCTCTAATATTAAATGAAAGCGCAAGTGTCTATTTTTATTTATTATGGTGCCCAAAGTAAATATGGGTATGCATGTATTAAAAATAGTTCAGCAAACTATATTAGCAATAAGAAAAAAAGAAAAAACACAAATGTATTAACTTGCTTGACACAAAATTTAAAATGTCTCTACAAGATGTAGATACATAATTCATCGTCTCTAGAAAGCGTCTCATGTCTTTTAGATACGCTTGACACCGTCTCTAGAAAGCGTTTCATGTCTTCTAGACACGTTTGACAAAATGTATCTACGGTTCCTGACACAGTCCGTGCGGAGACGTTCCAGACACGCTTTTGTCAAATGTGTCTATACTTTATTAGAGATGAAATAAAGCGTATCTAACGTAGGAAAAACGCGTATCTAGAGGGGGTGTTTCTTGCAGTGACACCTCTGTCAGTCATATGACTAGCTAGCCCCACCAACAAATCATTCTTTTGAGCATTAATAATCATCCTAGTAAGCACATCAGCTACAAGATTTTCGAACAATACAGGAGAGCTGTGTGTCATTTTATTAAGAAATGAAAAAAAGGAAAAATACTATAAAAAAAAGGGATGGCTAGAAAAAAAACCTTCCCAACACATCCGACTCACACTAGCATCCTCTGAAACCTTCTGCATAGCCTCTGGGTGCCACCCTGTTATTCGATGATCCCCACATTGTAGTATTCCGATACTTGACAAAATCTTCTGAAGAAACTGTCGCCGACTATTGGCCTTGGAGCCTAAGCTCTGGTGCTGGTCAGTCGGCACAACCGAAGAAATCTGGTGACTCTGTAAAGCTAACTAGTACACTATTGAATAGGCCCTAAGCTCCGGTGGTGTCTGTCACGGGAGAATTCTAGTGGTATTGTGCAGGCCCCATTTGCTTCGTTTTTGCATCTTCTCGTTCGGGCTTCAAATACTTGGTGTCTTGGACTGCATGCATGACTTCTTGGGTCTTCAGCAGTACTCCATGGTCTTTTTTGAGGTGTTGATCACTTGATCTTTACGTTGTCTTCGTTCAAGACCATCCTTCCATCTAATAGACCAAATACCTTATATACTAGCAAATAATATTAGTCCATTTGATCATGTTGTCATATAATCACCAAAATGAAATATGACCCAAGCTGGGTGTCATTTTCCTTACAATGCAATTATTAGATAAATCTCCAAGCCTCTGCTTACATATATGAGCTATGACAACACACGTGTCCACGCATAGTACAAGAGTTCCATTACAAGATAAATTAGCATAATCATTAAATAAATCTTTGAGACACAAGTTGTCCAGATGGTCACACAATAAGTTATACATTCCATTACAACGAACTAGTATATTTACTAGTATGTGTATATAAAATTATGGTCGGTAACCGACAATGCAGGCTGCGGTGCTCAAGGAGTATCCGGACAAGATCCTTGTGACGGCGGCGCAGTGCGTCTTCAGCACGGTGCAGTCATTTGTCGTCGCATTTGTGGCTGAGAGGGACTTCTCCAAGTGGAAGCTCCGCTTCGATGTTGGCTTGCTCGCCATTTTCTACTCTGTAAGTTTTCGCTGGATTTCTTCACTAAAATAAGTCTAAGTAAGTAGGCTTTTAGTTACATGTACAAACAAAAAAAATATAAGACATCTATCTAATTCTTAATAACCATTTGAAAAATTTGCTGGTGAACTCCTACATACATATCAACCACTGTCAGGGGTTTGTAGTAATGGGAATCTCCTACTATCTGCAAGCTTGGTGTGTGGAGATGAAAGGCCCCGTCTTTCTCGCCGCATGGACTCCACTCTGCTTCATCTTCACAATATTCCGGTCCTCTTTCTTCTTGGGAGAGATCGTCCACCTCGGCAGGTATATAATCTCAAGTGTCTTGGACTAACAGTGACTACAATGGAAGCAAATAAACAAGTTTCACATCATCTCATTCACATGCATGATGATCTTTGGACTTTGGGGGACATATGATCGAATGCATATAACAATGATGAATGTCTTGTTATTTATCATTTTACGGCAGCATTGTTGGTGGAATCTTGCTGGTTGGCGGCCTGTATAGTGTATTGTGGGGTAAAAGCAAGGAGGCCAACATTGACCCGTGCAGAGAGGTGAATAGAATCAGTGATCCACAAGACCATGTAGAGATCGATATACGAAGAAGAAGAACAAGCAAGGGGATGAGAAGAGGACAGAAGAGGCAACGTTAGCACTTACCACTAGCTGAACAAGAGTCTGACCAATATAATCCATGCATTCTATCAATTGACTATGGATACAAATATAGCTCTTTGCCATATGCTAGCTTGTATATATATGTGTGTGTCTGGAGTAAATCAAATAATGGCACTGAATTCTAGTCATTCATGCAAGCAAATATTAAATGGAACGCCTAGCGCCGGACGTCCGGACAAGGCTAGCATCCGTATGCTCGCGCCTGCCTCACGTGGGGGCCCACGCTGCTCAGTGTCTCGCGGACGCACCATGTCCTGTGACCGCACCGTGTCCACGCCACTCTGTGTCCCGTGCCCACACTGTGGCCCGCACACGCTTCGTGTCCCACGTTGCTCCATGTCCTACGCCCGCACTGTGGCACCCCCTCCACACCCACGCACATGCAGGCGGGCCTAGCTGCTACAGATGGGTCCCACTGCAACATGTGCAACACCAAGATCATCTACTTTTGCAATATCTAGATGAAACACTTGCAACATACAGCCCAAACAATTGAAACACTTGCAACATACGTCCGAAACACGAGGAAAACACGTGTGTAGTCATTGCAAAACATACGCGACATCCAGATAAAACACTTGCAATAAATGTGTGAAACATATGCAACATCCGGATGAAACACACTTGCAACATATGTCTGAAAAAACAGATGAAACATTAGAGACAAACACTTGCAACATACGTGTACAACCACTACAACATATGCAACATCCTGATATACTTTTGCAACATTCGTATGAAACACTTAAAACATACCTCTAAACACATCTGAAACATTTAAAATATACACTTGCAACATGCATCATATCCCGTCGCTACTAGACGCCCGCGGGCCTTGCTGTTGGTGACCTTCCTGACTGCTTGACTCCCGCGACCATGGACCTACCGAGCAACTGCATCCTCGTCGGTGCTGCTGGCTGAGTCGTCCCTGATGAGCGAGGCATCCCTGCCTGATCTCGTATGCATCGTCGGAAACCATCGCCGAGGGAGGAAGGGAGCGTGAGGTGCAGTAGGAAAACCCGCTCTAGGTATGGCCACTCGGATCTCGTGATGTCGCGAGCTGAGTCGACAACGGCGAGGAACTTTTGGTGGGGAACGGCGGCGGCGGCGGCACAGAGGCGGAGTGGGCGTGGGCGGTAGACATGGCGCCGAGCCGAGCAGGATGGTGCGCACAGGAGGCGGAGTGGGCGTGGGGGAGCAGATGCGGAGGAGGCAGGTTGGGAGGAGCAAGGGATGGGGCGCATCGTAGGCGGAGTGGGCGTGGACGGCAGACGCAACAGACGCGGTGCCGAGATGAGTAGGTGGGGGAGCCTCGCACGACGATGAGGTGGAGGAGTGGGCTGGCCGCCCGATGTGGTGAAGCAAGTGGGGACTTCGTTAGGGATTTCAGTTCGAATTTCTGTTGCGTGCGGAGGAGAAAGCGTCGGCGTAGAGGAGAAGGCACGTTGCCTGTTGGGCCCGATCGCTTCGCAGGCCGAGGAACTGCACATCTGGACACACACCCTCCACTCAAAAAAAAATCTAGACACGCACCTGGACAGACGCCCTCACCAATATTAAAAGGTCCTCGAGCTTGAAGGAGTTTGAGTCGCCAAGGCGTATGTGTGCGTGAAGATAGAGGAAACATAGCGTAGCCGGCGCCAAATAGAAAATGTCGTGAACTTTAAAGGCTTATGCAATCCGAAATCTAGGGGCGTTTTGGATCAGTGTTAAAAAGTAGCCCGTTTGATGATGATGGGTTAAACATAGGTTAATCATATAAGGTACTACTCTACTTAGTCTCGTTAGCTCTTATTAGCCTATGATTAGCTAATATTTTTTCGTATTTAAAATAAAAGGAAAAAGATAAAATAAATGAAAGAAAATGAAAAAATGAAACATGAAAATAAGAAAATGAAATAAAGAAAATAATTAATTACAATAAAAAAGAGATAAAAAGATAAAAATAAAATAAAAATAAAAACCCATAGAAAAGAAAAAAAAATAAAAAGAGAAAATAAATAGCAGCAAGGGAGAAAAGAAAAGGTGAATAACAAAAGGAAAAATAAGAAAAAACAACGACACATACCGACCTGCGTCTTGCATATTATTTAGGCTATATGCGCATTCGGCCTAATAAAAAACTATCGAACCCAATATTCCGTAGGAAAAAGTATACATTACGTCCCTCAACTTTTATAAAAGTTCGTTTTCCTTCCAGAACTCCAAAATCGGGCAAAACACCTTCCTCAACTTTTAAAACTCTTCATCTTACTTCCCTGGCCCGGTTATAAGTGGTTTTGAAAGCGGTTTTCTCTTTTTCTTTTTTATTTATTTCGGCTGAATCTTTGAAAAATCATAGTAAATCACAGAAAAATCATAAAATGAAAAATCTAATTGTGTTGGACTCCACATGAGTAGATCTAAACAGTGAACATATAATATGGTATGTTTTAGTACAAAGTTTTTGTTGTGGTTTTAGATCTATACTTTTTTAATTAATTGAAATAATTCATAGCTGCAGTTTCTATGGTCCAATTGTGATGAAATTTTTATAATGGGCTAATTATTTAGCTATATGCTGCCACATGGACATCTGGGAGGCAAGGCGCTCCCTCTGGCCTCCGCTACAAATTCACTACAAATTCATGAGTTTTACGGACTATTTCCAAGAAAATAATAACACTAAATACTACCTACATAAATTATAGACTAAAGTCCATTTTGTCCCGTTGAACTTGTCTCGTCTCATAGTTACACGCTCACCCTCCAAAACTCAAAAGCTAGATATCATACACACCCCTAACTCCTAGAATTGAACAAATTGTCTCATACATCAATTCAAAGTGATTTGAAGGTAGTTTCTGTGAAGATCAAGCATCATACACTGACCCGACTCTCGAAATCAAACAAATAACCTGCTATGGCGATTGAAAATGTCTGCAAGGTAAATTTATTGACACGAAGACATCCTTCTCTCTCCATGCATATTTGGATTCCCCCTCTCTCAGTACTAGATGGACACATCATCATACTCTTAGGTCTTCACCCCCTCTCCTTCTCCACTATTACCCACTGCTTTTAGCTCGAAGTACCACAGTTGAGCCAAAAATAAAAGCCATGATGAATGCTCTCATATGGTATTAGCTTCACTCTAGCAACAACAAGGAATCCATAGGGCAACTCTGCCACTCTAGCCAACTCCCTCATCGAGTTCTAGCCACACTTCTCATGGTGGCACGACACTTAAGAGGTACGGATAGTAGGGGTTGGTGAGAGGGACGAGAAGATGGTGACGATGATGGATGAGTGATTAGGATTGAAAGCAGTGAGCGACACAAAAGTTAGGAAACACATGGGCAGGAAGGAAAAAGGAGATCCATAGGGTGGATCCAATGTAGATGAAAAAAAACATAGGACGTGGCTCAAAACAACCAGGATAAATAAAAAAGATTATAAGGGTTCCGATATGTGGGACTCGCCTTATAAATTCTAAAAACCACTCTAAACCTCCTTCGGTTTTGAGAGTCAAAATAAAATCACTTGAGGAATTACGGAGTGGCATAGGACAGTAGCCACAGGAGCCCAAGCCCATCAGAGCCGAAACAAAATGGGCCAGGCCTTAAAGGGGTGCGGTTTTGAAGTCACGAGAAGTCAAGGAGACCGACCAACTGTGGAGAAAATGGGAATTTTGCCCTTATGAGGAGTGGGCTTCGCTAGAATGTCCTTAAGTTTGTGGGCTTCGCCAGAATGCCCTTATAAAAGGTGTGTTTCACGCTATTTTGCCATTTCGTGTTTTTCCAACTTTGTAAATTTATGACCCCATCTTTTTGACCAGGCGTGACCATTTTACCCCTGTCTCCTTCTACCTTATCCTCTTTCTCTGATTCTCATGGTCACGACAATTTCTCCTTTCTCTCCTATTCTCTCTCTGTCTCGACCAGTGTTCGGGCAGGAGCCCGACGCCGGCCGCTGCCGCCCGGTCGCGCCAGGCCACCGTCGATAGGCCACACGTCACTAGGCGTCCTTGCCCCAACCATCTGCGCCAGGCCGCCGTTGCATCCACGCCACGCCGCGGTCGCCGCCTCGATGCTTCCACACCAGGCCACGGTCGCCGCCCCGATGCATCCGCGCTAGTCCGGGAACTGGACTGGAAGCCCGATGAAGGTAACCTCAGCGGGCTTGTGTGCAACGGGTAGCGGCAGTAGTGAGTTACCCTTTTGCCATGTTCCATTGGTCTAGATCCAGTGCAAGCAGCCGGTGACTTTGGGCGAGTGGTATATCAAGTGCCCGTACAACAATAAGGTAAGGATTCTTGACATTGGTGACCTCACTGTGTCTCTTGCTGCTGCTCTGATTGATGTGTTTTGAGTGCAGGTTGATCCAACTACCTGTGGTTACATTTGGCCTGAGGTGTAGAATGTGAAGTTGGAAGCACAAGAATACCAACTGAAGGCTAAGAAGGAGGCATCAGGTGACTGTTGCTCTGAATTGAAAGCAGAATTACAAGAGTTGAAGCAAACACTTGATAGTGTTGTAGCTGAACTTTGGAAACTAAAGGTGAAGCCAGCAGAGCCGATTCCTAAGCCGATTCATGAGCCAAAGCCTGAGCCAAAGCAAATTGTGATAGATTATTCTATTTTTGTGGGCTTTGTAGGTATCCTGATTGGTGTTGTGGTTGCCTGTATGTGGAAGTGAACAACTAATGTCTGTTAGTCAGCCAATGTGTCGGTGCAGAAAATGACCAACACGTAAATATTTTTAGTTTTGTTGTACATTGTGATCGGAGGTGGCCTAGCACTCAATGACACAGGGTTTATACTGGTTCAAGCAACGTGCCCTACGTCTAGTTTGAGTCGGTCGGTGACTTTATTCCTAAGCCTCGGTGCTCGAAGTTTGCTGTGGGGTTACAAACGGAAGGAAGAAAGATGGGGGATATAAGAGGTCTGGTCGGACTCCGGTCTGAAGGGCTGAGAGTGATGGGAGCTCCGCTATG